CCTTTTAAAAAGTTCGATATTTACGAAATTTCGTAAATGATAAAAAAATTAACGAATCGATTTCCGAAACAATAACGAATCGATTCGTTAATGGCGGACGCGACCGCGAAATACGCTAAAAAACCTCCAAAACCTTCTGAAGCTTCCCTCTCCCTCTGTTGTTGACTGTTGGTGTGATATTATAATTTTTTTTCACTAATTAAACCATAAAACTGGCCCAGACATGCGGAAATAATAACGAAACGACCTCAAAACAATAACGAAACGAATACAATATCGAAATACGAAGCATTTACAAAACGTATTTAAAAAATCGTTTTTTTAATAATTGCTCCAGAATGGTTCGTTATCGTTTTGTAATTGAAAAAATTAACGAATTATTAACAAATTACGAATTAACGAAACGAAACCACCCAGCCCTAGAAAACACTACAAGAGTTTGGTGGGCATTGACGTTGAGTTTGGGAGTTGTAGTTCACCTACATCCAGATATCACTGTGGACTCAAATAATGATGGATCTGGACCAAACTCTACACGAATACTCAATATGCCCCAAAGTGAACACTGGTGGAGTTTGGAGAAAATAGAATCTTGACATTTGGGAGTTGTAGTTGTTGGGATGCATAGTTTACCTATAATCACAGAGCATTCTGAACCCCACCCATGACAGAATTGGGCCAAACCTTCCACACAGAACCCCCATGTGGGCCACAGCAATGTGTGGCAGAGGACGCTAGTCTTCAATAAAAGGATTGTTTTTTTCTCTACTCAATGTGTGGTGTTTTATAGTCAGAGGGTTATTCCTGTCCTGGAGTGCAACTAGAGGCGGCCGTAGGTAATTTTCAATGGTAAGCAAACAGTATTTTGGTACCCCCCCCCCCAACCAATCATTGATATATATATATTCTGTTCGTTCTGTGTGCCATATTTGGTTCAATTCCATCATTCGTGGAGTTCAGAATGCTCATTGATTGTAGGTGAACTATACATCCCAGTAACTACAAATCACATATGTCAAGGTCTATTTTCCCCCAAGAGCACCTCAAGAGTGTCCCTGGGCAAAATCAACTATACTGCAAATGCTTACTTTGCGTAATGGGTTGCCGAGGCTTCCCCCGGACTGCTAGGGCTGTTGTGAGCTGAGGGGGCGCTCCTCAAGTGGTGGTCGAGGGGCATTTACAGAGGCGCCTCTGCGCCCCTGGCAAAAAAAAAGGTGTACTGCGACCACTTACTTTGCGTAATGGATGAGCCGCCCCTGAGTGCAACAGTGGCAAATTGCAACATTCACCTGTACCTCTAGCAGACAAGAGTTCTTTCCCCCATCCAGGACATTCCACAGATATATAAACATCACTTACTTAGTTTCCAACAGACCTCTCAACCCCTGAGGATGCCTGCCATAGATGTGGGTGAAACGTCAGGAGAGAATGCTTCTGGAACCTGACCATACAGCCTGGAAAACTCAGGGCAACTCAGTGATTTGTGAAAGCCTTGGACAAGACATTACTTGGATGGTGCTTTTCCTGTATGGCAGGGGGTTGGACTAGATGGCCCTTGTGGTCTCTGATTCTAGGATGAGTCTAGGACAGTGTTTCTCACCCTGGGGGTCGGGGCCCCTGGAGGGGTCGTGAGGGAATATCAGAGGGGTCGCCAAAGAACATCAGAAAACATTGTATTTTCTGTTGGTCATGGGGGTTCTGTGTGGAAAATTTGGCCCAATTCTCTCATTGGTGGGGTTCAAATGTTATTTGATTGTAGGTGAACTATAAATCTCAGCAACTACAACTCTCAAATGTCAAGGCCTACTTCCCCCAAAACTTCACCAGTGTTCACATTTGGGCCTATTGAGTATTCGTGCCAAGTTTCGTCTAGATCCATCATTGTTTGTATTCGAAGTGCTCTCTGGATGTAGGTGAACTACAACTCCAAAACTCAATGTCAATGTCCACCAAACCCTTCCAGTATTTTCTGTTGGTTGTGGGAGTTCTGTGTGCCAAGATTGGTCCAATTCCATCGTTGGTGGAGTTCAGAATGCTCTATGGTTGTAGGTGAACTATAAATCCCAGCAACTACAACTGTCAAATATCAAGGCCTATTTCCACCAGATCCATCATTGTTTGTGTTCGCAGTGCTCTCTGGATGTAGGTGAACTACAACTCCCAAAATCAATATCAATGTCCACCAATCCCTTCCAGTATTTTCTGTTGGTTGTGGGAGTTTTGTGTGCCAAGATTGGTTCGATTCCATCGTTGGTGGAGTTCAGAATGCTCTATGGTTGTAGGTGAACTATTAATCCCAGCAACTACAACTCTCAAATGTCAAGGCCTATTTCCCCCAAACTCCATCTGTGTTCACATTTTGGCGTATTGAGTGCTTGTGCCAAGTTTGGTCCAGATCCATCATTATTTGAGTCCACAGTGCTCTCTGGATGAAGGTGAACTACAACTCCCAAACTCAAGATGAATGCCCACCAAACCCTTCCAGTATTTTCTGTTGGTCATGGGAGTTCTGCGTGCCAAGTTTAGTTCAATTCCATCGTTGGTTGAGTTCTGCATGCTCTTTGATTGTAGGTGAACTATAAATCCCAGCAACTACAACTCCCAAATGACAAAATCATAATTTTTTGAGTGATGGTCACTCCTTGTGTTGTGAGATGTTTTGTTGCCAGATTTGGTGTGATTTCGTTCATTGTTTCTTTTGTTTTTAAGGTACTCAGTATGCACAGAGCATTTATATATATATATATACATAGATATATAGGGCCCCCGGTGGCACAGTGGGTTAAACCACTGAGCTGCTGAGCTTGTTGACCAAAAGGTCGCAGGTTCGATTCCAGGGAGCGGCGTGTGCTTCCACTGTCAGCCCTAGCTTCTGCCAACATAGCAGTTCGAAAACATGCAAATGTGAGTAGATCAATAGGTACTGCTCCGGCGGGAAGGTAACGGCGCTCCATGCAGTCATGCTGGCCACATGACCTTGGAGGTGTCTATGGACAACGCTTGCTCTTTGGCTTCGAAATGGAGATGAGCACCACACCCCAGAGTCAGACATGACTGGACTTAATGTCAGAGGACAACCTTTACCTATATATATATATATATATATATGCATACAGATATATATATACACATGCCCCTATATATATATGGTTGGGGGGGGGGGCAAAATACTGTTTGCTTATCATTGAAAATTACCTAGGGCTGCCTCTGCCTTTAGCAGACAAGAGTTCTTTCCCCCATCCAGGACATTCCACAGATATATAAACACCACTTACTTAGTTTCCAACAGACCTCTCAACCCCTGAGGATGCCTGCTATAGATGTGGGTGAAACGTCAGGAGAGAATGCTTCTGGAACCTGACCTTACAGCCCGGAAAACTCAGGGCAACCCAGTGATTTGTGAAAGCCTTGGACAACACATTACTTGGATAGTGCTTTTCCTGTATGGCAGGGGGTTGGACTAGATGGCCTTTGTGGTCTCTGATTCTAGGATGAGTCTAGGATTCCAGCAGGGGCGGCTCGTCCATTACGCAAAGTAAGCGGTCGCAGAACACTTTTTTTTGCCAGGGGTGCAGAGGTGCCTCTGTAAATGCCCCTCGACCACCACTTGAGGAGCGCCCCCCTCAGCTCACAACAGCCCTAGCAGTCCTGGGGGAGCCTCGGCTTTCTTGCCTTGCTGCCGGGCGATCCTCTTCCCAAAGGGGCCGGGCCCTTGAGCCTCGCCTAGCCCCTCTTGTTCCTGCTTCACCCGGCCACCGGGTGCTGGCACTCAATCGTTCTCCGCGTTCGATCCCTTCCCCATGACCGGCTCCCTTTCCCGATCCCCTGGCGCTCCCCCCGCCTCCTCTCCTCTCCTCAATCCGTGGGTGGGCCAAGGGGCGGAGCTGCCACGTCTGGCCCACTTCGGGTCCGAAGGCGTGTCTGAAGACCCTAGCGTGCGCACCAAAAGTTGCCTCTTCTCCTGACTTTCTCTTCAGCCATTGGGACCAAGAGAGAGAGAGACCCTCTGGCTGGAGGTATCTCCCACCTCCGCTCCCTCCTTTGTTTTTGCGCCTACCTTCAGGAAAGGTGGGCATCTCCCCCTCTCTCTCTCTCTTGGTCCCAATGGCCACCCGCCTCCTCTCCTCTCCCCAATCCGTGGGCGGGCCAAGGGGCGGAGCTGCCACGTCTGGCCCGCTTCGGGTCCGAAGGTGTGCCTGAAGACCCTAGCGTGCGTACCAAAAGTCCTGACTTTCTCTTCAGCCATTGGGACCAAGAGAGAGAGAGACCCTCTGGCTGGAGGTATCTCCCACCTCCGCTCCCTCCTTTGTTTTTGCGCCTACCTTCAGGAAAGGTGGGCATCTCCACCTCTCTCTCTCTCTCTCTCTTGGTCCCAATGGCTGAGGAGAAAGTCAGGAGAAGAGGTGACTTTTGGTGCACACGCCGGGTCTTCAGGCACGCCTCCGGACCCAAAGCGGGCCAGGCAAGGGAGCAAGTGGCAAGTGTAGTTACTGGGATGTATAGTTCACCTACAATCAAAGAGCATTCTGAACTCCACCAATGATGGAATTGAACCAAATATGGCACACAGAACTCCCATGATGAACAGAAAATATATATCAATGATTGGTTTGGGGGGGGGGTGTGCCAAAATACTGTTTGCTTACTGTTGAAAATTACCTAGGGCCGCCTCTGCGTCTCGCAGACAAGAGTTCTTTCCCCCATCCAGGACATTCCACAGATATATAAACACAGCTTACTTAGTTTCCAACAGACCTCTCAACCCCTGAGGATGCCTGCCATAGATGTGGGTGAAACGTCAGGAGAGAATGCTTCTGGAACCTGACCATACACCCTGGAAAACTCTGGGCAACTTAGTGATTTGTGAAAGCCTTGGACAACACATTACTTGGATGGTGCTTTTCCTGTATGGCAGGGGGTTGGACTAGATGGCCCTTGTGGTCTCTGATTCTAGGATGAGTCTAGGATTCTAGGATGGTTCTAGGCTGCCTCGTGGGCCCACTGCGCGCAGGTGAGTCGAGGAGGAGGAGGAGGAGGATGGCGATGGCGATGATGATGATGTCAAGCGTGATGCCGCGGTAAGCCAAGCCTCTTTTGGCGCAGGCTCCGTGGCTGGCTCTTCCCAAGGCAGGGCTTCAAGAGAGGGAGCGCATCGGAGGCAGGTCCAGTCCGGAGACACCGAAGGAGAGATACAGATCGAGAGAGAGAGAAGAGAGAAGCCGGAGAGGCCCCCCAACCGCGGTTCTAACCCGAGACAAAGGCGCGGTGAGAGCCATGCGAGCCCCGGGCTGCTGCTCCTCCTGCCTGGTGCCGGCGCTGCTCCTCCTGCTCAGCCTGGCTTCGGCCGACGGCGAAGGCAAGCCCGGCAAGGAAGGCGAGAGCCCCGGCAATTTCATGGAGGACGAGCAATGGCTGTCTTCCATCTCGCAGTACAGCGGCAAGATCAAGCACTGGAACCGCTTCCGAGACGTGAGTCCCACAAACAAGGGCTTCCAAGGGAGGCGGGGGGGGGGGGGAGAGAATTCACACATGCAGATCTCTACACGCATCTCCAGGGGAGGAAAAAGGGTGGAGACGGGGAGAGCCGGCTGGCGCCTTGTTGCAATGCAGGAGGAAGAGGAGGCTGGCAACCCCGGTGTCACGTCGCTTTGCGGAAGGATCGCCCCGTTTCCCCTTCCCACCTGCCCATCTGGAGCCCTTTGGATTCCCAAAGTGGGTCGCCAAGGCCAGATCCCTTCAAGGCACCCGATCCCGTTGGATTCCCGTCTCCATCCTGAGTCAGAAACCTGGCTCTGCCACAATGAAGCCTCTCAGTGCTCGGCTTTCACTAGAAGAGTCAAGGACAGGAGGACTCTATCTTTCTATCTTTCTATCTATCTATCTATCTATCTATCTATCTATCTATCTATCTATCTATCTATCTATCTATCTATCTATCTATCATCTATCTATCCTACCTACCTACCTACCTACCTACCTACCTACCTACCTGTCCCTCTAGCTCTCTCTCTGTCTACCTACCTACCTACCTACCTACCCATCTCTCTATCTATCTACCTACCTACCTACCTACCTACCTACCTCCCTCTCTAGCTAGCTATCTACCTGCCTACCTATCTCTCTATCTCTGTATCTATCTGCCTACCTACCTACCTACCTATATCTACCTACCTACCTATCTCTCTAGCTCTCTCTCTGTCTACCTACCTACCTACCTACCCACCTCTCTATCTATCTATCTACCTATCTACCTACCTCCCTCTCTAGCTATCTACCTACCTGCCTTCCTATCTCTCTATCTCTGTATCTATCTGCCTACCTACCTACCTATATCTACCTACCTACCTACCTATCTCTCTAGCTCTCTATCTGTCTACCTACCTACCTATCTCTGTAGCTCTCTATCTCTCTAGCTAGCTACCTACCTACCCATCTCTCTACCTACCTACCTATCTCTCTAGCTACCTACCTACCTACCTACCTACCTATCCCTCTAGCTCTCTCTCTGTCTACCTACCTACCTACCCATCTCTCTACCTACCTACCTACCTACCTACCTACTTACCTACCTCTCTACCTCTCTAGCTAGCTATCTACCTGCCTACCTATCTCTCTACCTATCTATCTACCTATCTATCTACCTACCTACCTATCTATCTATCTATGTATCTATCTGCCTACCTACCTACCTACCTACCTACCTACCTACCTACCTCTCTAGCTCTCTCTCTATCTGTCTACCTACCTACCTACCTACCTCTCTAGCTCTCTCTCTATCTGCCTACCTACCTACCTCTCTAGCTCTCTCTCTGTCTACCTACCTACCTATCTCTCTAGCTACCTATCTCTCTAGCTACCTACCTATCCATCTCTCTAGCTCTCTATCTCTCTAGCTAGCTACCTACCTTCCTACCCATCTCTCTACCTACCTATCACTCTAGCTCTCTATCTGTCTACCTACCTACCTACCTACCCATCGCTCTATCTCTCTACCTACCTACCTACCTACCTACCTACCTATCTCTCTAGCTCTTTATCTCTCTAGCTATCTACCTACCTACCTATTTCTCTGACTACCTACCTACCCATCTCTCTATCTCTCTATCTATCTATCTCTCTACCTACCTTTCTCTCTAGCTCTCTATCTACCTACCTACCTATCTACCTACCTATCTCTCTAGCTCTATCTACCAACCTACCTACCTATCTCTCTAGCTCTCTCTCTACCTACCTTCCTATCTCTCTATCTATTTATCTACCTTCCTATCTCTCTAGCTCTCTATCTACCTGCCTACCTGCCTACCTACCTACCTACCTACCTCTAGCTCCCTAGCTTTCTACCTACCTACTTACCTGTCTCTCCAGCTATCTATCTATCTATCTATCTATCTATCTATCTATCTATCTATCTATCTATCTATCTATCTATCTATCTACATACCTACCTGCCTATCTACCTACCTATCTTTCTATCTCTCTAGCTATCTACCTATCTACCTACCTACATATATACCTATCTATCTCTCTAGCTCCCTAGCTCTCTCTCTCTATCTACATACCTACCTGCCTATCTACCTACCTATCTTTCTACCTCTCTATCTATCTACCTACATACATACCTATCTATCTCTCTAGCTCCCTAGCTCTCTCTATCTATTTATCTACCTACCTATCTACCTATCTCTCTATCTATCTATCTATCTATCTACCCACCCACCTAGCTCTCTATCTGTCTGTCTGTCTGTCTGTCTGTCTGCCTGCCTGCCTATCTATCTATCTATCTATCTATCTATCTATCTATCTATCTATCTATCTATCTATCATCTACCTGCCTACCTATCTACACCAACCCCCCTCCTATCTAGCTAGCTATATGCATACACACACACACACACACACACACACACACACCACAGTGGGTAATGCCTCCACCACTCTTTGATTTCTTTCACAGCTACAGGACTATCTATGCATGATATGGTAGAGGTAACATTACTCTACTAATAGAGCAATGTTTCTCAACCTTCCTAATGCTGCGACCCCTTAATACAGTTCCTCATGTTGTAGTGACCCCCAACCATAACATTATTTTTGTTGCTACTTCGTAACAGTAATTGTGCAACTGTTCCGAATTTTCATGTAAATATCTAATATGCAGGATGTATTTTCATTCACTGGTTCAAATTTGGCAGAAATACTCGATATGCCCACATTTCAATGCTGGTGGGGCTCAGGGTGGGATTGATTCTGTCATTTGGGAGTTGTAGTTGCTGGGATTTGTAGTTTGCCTCCAATCAAAGAGCATTCTGAACTCCACCAACGATGGAATTGAACCAAACTTGGTATACAGAATTTCCATGACCAACAGAAAATACTGAAAGGTTTTGTTCGGCATTTGACCTTGAGTTTTGGAGTTGTAGTTCATCTGCATCCAGAGAGCACTGTGTGGAGTCAAATAATGATGGATCTGGACCAAACTTGGCATGAATACTCAATATGCCCAAATGTGAACACTGGTGGAGTTTGGGGAAAATAGACATTGACATTTGGGAGTTGTAGTTCCTGGGATTTATAGTTCACCTCCAATCAAAGAGCATTCTGAACTCCACCAACGATGGAATTGAACCAAACTCAGCAAACAAAACTCCCATGACCAACAGAAAATACTGGAAGATTTTGGTCGGCATTGACCTTGAGTTTTGGAGTTGTAGTTCACCTGCATCCAGAGAGCACTGTGTGGAGTCAAACAATGATGGATCTGGACCAAACTTGGCATAAATACTCAATATGCCCAAATGTGAACACTGGTGGAGTTTGGGGAGAATAGACCTTGACATTTGGGAGTTGTAGTTGCTGGGATGTATAGTTCACCTACAATCAAAGAGCATTGTGAACCCCACCAATGATAGAATGGGGCCAAACTTCACACACAGAACCCCCATGGCTAGCAGAAAATACTGTGTTTTCTGATAGTATTTGGCGATCCCTCTGACACCCCCTGGGGTCCCGACCCTAAGGTTGAGAAAGGCTGCGATAGAGGTAACCTTACTCTACTGATATAGTCTTTTCTTTTTCCAATTAACTGATTGGAACCATGAATCTGAAGCTAAAAGAAAGAGTCGCCATTTAATTTCTGGCCAAAGAAGGTTGTGCACTTAAGGAAATCCATAATTGCTTGAAGAATGTTTACGAATTGGCCCCTTCTGACTTTGACCTGTTTGGATCTCTGAAAGACAACCTACGTGGTTTCAGATTCAAGGACATTAAAACAGCTTTAATAGGCCACGAAGCACAATCCTACATTTTTGCAAAATGGTTTTGGTGCCTGGGTTAAATGATGATGCAAATGTGTACAAATTGATGGTGACTATGTTGAATGGTACCTTTGTGTAGAGGACAGTTCAGGCTACGATCTGTAGCAACTTCTGCTGTTATATGTGCATTCACAACGCCTTTATGACACAGGAGGCAAAACTTTTTAAGTGCAGGCCAAGGTCTTTAGGCACTGCACCCAGTGTGCCGATCACCACTGGGACCACCTTTACCGGTTTGTGCCAGAGTCTTTGCAGTTCGATCTTTAAATATTATTATTATTATTATTATTATTATTATTATTATTATTATTTGAAACACAACACGATGAGTCCACAGCAGACACTCTGCTGGCTGTTGTACTGGATCACACGTCGGACACTTCCCAAGTGTCTAGGACTGTGTGATGTATCGGCGAATAATGTGTGCAGATCCCAGTAAGGTGGCCTTCTGCAACTGGCAGATGGTAATTTTGTCAGCACTGATTGAGTTTAAGTGCAGGCCAAGGTCTTTAGGCACTGCACCCAGTGTGCTGATCACTACTGAGACCACCTTTACTGGCTTTTGCCAGTGTCTTTGCAGTTTACTCTTTAAATATTATTATTATTATTTATTTATTTGAAATGCAACAAGATGAGTCCACAGCAGACACTCTGCTGGCTGTTGTATTGGATCACACGTCGGACACTTCCCAAGTGTCTAGGACTGTGTGATGTATTGGCAAATAATGCGTGCAGATCCCAGTAAGGTGGCCTTCTGCAGCTGGCAGATGGTAATTTTGTCAGCACCGATTGTGTTTAAGTACAGGCCAAGGTCTTTAGTCACTGCACCCAGTGTGCCAATCACTGGGATCACCTTGACTGGCTTGTGCCAGAGTCTTTGCAGTTTGATCTTTAAATGTTGTTGTTGTTGTTGTTGTTTTATTATTATTATTATTATTATTATTATTATTATTATTATTATTTGAAACACAACAAGATGAGTCCACAGGAAACAAGATCTCTCTGCTGGCTGTTGTATTGGATCACACATCGGACACTTCCCAAGTGTCTAGGACTGTGTGATGTATCAGCAAATAATGCGTGCATATCCTAGTAAGGTGGCCTTTTGCAGCTGGCAGATGGTAATCTTGTCAGTGCCGATTGTGTTTAAGTGCAGGCCAAGGTCTTTAGGCACTGCACTAAGTGTGTGGATCACCACTGGGACCACCTTGACTGGCTTGTGCCAGAGCTTTGCAGTTCGATCTTTAAATCCTCATATCGTGTCAGCTTTTCCAGTTGTTTCTCTTCAATAATAATGATGATGATGATGATAATGTATTGTCAAAGGCTTTCATGGCCGGAATCACTGAATTGACCTCACTACCTCTGAGGATGCTTGCCATAGATGCAGGCGAAACGTCAGGAGAGAATGCCTCTGAACCATGGCCATATAGCCAGAAAAACCCTACAACAACCCAATAATAATAATAATAATAATAATTTTAAAGCCACCTCCTGACTTGATCTTAAAAACACACACATATTAAAATGTAGTTCTACAAAAGATGTATATTAAATATATATTTCTATAAAAATACCTATTAAATATCCAAGGAATACTCAGAGATGGTTTGCCAGTTCCTTCTGAAATCGAGCCTCCTCCGCTTGGTGTTCAATGGCAGTGTCCCATCCGAGTATTATGGAGCCCCCGTTGGTGCAGTGGGTTAAACCCCTGTGCCGGCAGGACTGAAGACCGACAGGTCACATGTTCGAATCCGGGGAGAGTGCAGATGAGCTCCCTCTATCAGCTCCAGCTTCTCATGCGGGGACATGAGAAAAGCCTCCCACAAGGATGTTGTTGTTGTTCATTCGTTCAGTCTTCTCCGACACTTCGTGACCTCATGGACCAGCCCACGCCAGAACTCCCTGTCGGCCGTCACCACCCCCAGCTCCTTCAAGGTCAGTCCAGTCACTTCAAGGATGCCATCCATCCATCTTGCCCTTGGTCGGCCCCTCTTCCTTTTTTGATGGTAAAACATCAAAACATCTTGGCGTCCCCTGGGCACTGTCCTTGCAGATGGCCAATTCTCTCACACCAGAAGCAACTTGCAGTTTCTCAAGTCATTTCTGACACAACAAAAAATAAATAAATCCGAGTACTAACCCAGGCTGACCCTGCTTAGCTTCCAAGATCAGACAAAAATCTGGTACTTTTAGCTCACAGCTAAATTGCCATTTATTAGCAACTTCCATCTCATTCTGCCTATCACTAAAATGGGATTTTGGGAAGATAAATGGAGCCCTTGACTCTAGTGATAGCCCAAGCAGAGAGAGGGTTCATCTTTGCAGCCAAATGGGCCAATGTAAGTCTGTACTTCTTTCTGACTCAGATGGAAACCGACCAGGATGAGCGGGGATTAGAAAAAGCTGCTGAAGGTATTGAAGGTGATATCCAGACAAGCCAAAAATGAGAAACAAGCAAACAAGGCTGTTTGGAAAGGAAATGGTGGGTGGAGCGGATTCCTTTCTGTATAACGAAAGACTCCAGGGCTCAGATTTGCAGGTTGATTTTGTTTAGATTTACATCCTGTCTTTCTCTCCCCCCCCCCCCCCCCCCCCCAAAAAAAAATTAAGATGTCAGACTGCTCCTGTCAAGATTAACTGGTGGGATTAAAAAAGGGAAGGTACAGATGGAAAGGAATGCCCAATTATAATATGCAAACACATCTAAAGAGATGGAAATGTGGGTGAGAAGCGGGACTGAGAAAGAAATGATAGCCCCCGTCTCTTAAGAGCTCTCTCCTTTAGGAATGGATGGGTTGTTAAAAATGTCCACCTGAATCAAAGAGTCATTGTTTGCTGGCTGAAGGATTTGGTCGTGTCAGGACTCCTTGAGAAACTGCAAGTTGCTTCTGGTGTGAGAGAATTGGCCGTCTGCAAGGACGTTGCCCAGGGGACGCCCGGATGATGTGATGTTTTTATCATCCTTGTGGGAGGCTTTTCTCATGTCCCCGCATGAAGAGCTGGAGCTGATAGAGGGAGCTCATCTGCCTCTCCCCGGATTTGAACCTGCGACCTGTCGGTCTTCAGTCCTGCCGGCACAGGGGTTTAACCCACTGCGCCACCGGGGGCTCCTATTGGCTGAAGGATGAATGGGGGTCACTCTGATGCATCAACTCATTCGTTGTAGAAGTCAAGGCCTAGTGATGTTTCACAGTTACAGTGTTCCCTCACCTATCGCGGGGCTTCTGTTCCAGGAACCCCCCCCGCAATAAGTGAAAAACCACTATACTGTATACGAAGGTTGAATGAAAAGTAATACCTCTACCTTCGTAACTCCTCAACAGATGGCAGTACTGGTATGCAGCAGGTACTGGCTTGTTCAGTAGACTCCCCTCTACAGTTCCATTTTGGCGGGAAGCCTTAGCATTGAACAGTTGTGTTGTTAAAGTGCAAAGTATGGAACCCTGTGCAGACGGTCGGTCAATGCGACTTAAGCAATATGTAGTCATTGAATTCTTGACAGCAGAAGGTGTCGCCCCAAAGGAGATTCATCAGAGAATGCCAGCTGTTTATGGTGATTGTGTTGATGTGAGTACTGTGCTCATTGGGTGAGAAAGTTTAGAGATGTTAAAGTGGGAACATCTGACTTGCATAACAAATAAAGGGTTGGACGTCCTGTGACAGCAACCACCGAGTTTCACAAGCAAAAGGTTTACAGATTGATTCAGGACAATCGTCGTATCACTCAGAGAGAAATTTCAAGCATAATTGGCATTTCACAAGAACATGTGGGTCACATTATTGTTTTGCTTGGCTATTGGAAGATCTGTGCATGATGGGTACCCAGGATGAGAGAACTGCGAGAAGCTGGTTGCGGAAAGAGAGTGTCGACTTCTTCCGTAACGGCTTCAGAAAACTTGTTCGTCGTTGGCAGAAATGTATCCAATTGTCTGGTGATTATGTGGGAAAGTGAATGGTGGTAGTTAAAGAGCACATTTTACAGATTATTTCTGTGTTTGATTTATTAAAATATTCCCATCCAAACCCAAGTAACGAAGGTGGAGGTATTACTTTTCATTCAACCTTTCTATGTACAGTATACGGTATACAGCCCACTCCTCTCTCCCCTCCCCCCCTCTCTCTTCTTCTCCTCTTTCCCCCTCCCTTCCTTCCTCCCTCCCCCCCCCTTCCCTTGCTGATCCACCCTTATACCTCCCTCCCTGCTTCCCCACTGGCATGGGTCTCTCAAGTCTGTTATAAACAGTGTTCCCTCGCTACTTGTATTTTAAATTATTTTTTTTGGAAAAGCCGCGAAACAGTTAGTCCGCAGTTAGCGAACTGCAAAGCAGCAAGGGAACTCTGTATATAGAAAGCCCAGTTGACAGGGATAGCTTTTCTTACCTCTGTGAAGGATATATTTTGCCCATATAGTCCACATTCCCCTACTGAGCTCAGGGAACCATGCACTTGTTATAGTCACCGCAACCCTGTAAGGTAGGCCAACCAAAGGCCTGTTCCACACAGATGAATAAAATCCTACATTATCTGCTTTGAACTGGAATATATGTCAGTGTGGACTCATGGCCCTTCCACACAGCCCTATATCCCAGAATATCAAGGCAGAAAATTATCTGAGTGTGGACTCACATAACCCAGTTTAAAGCAGATATTGTGGGATTTTCTGCTTTGATATTCTGGGATATAGGGCTGTGTGGAAGGGCCCAGAGAGGGAGAGAATGTGTGACTAGTCTTTTAATGTTGATACGGTCAATTTTATTTATTTATTTATTTAGAGTACTTCTACCCCACCCTTCTCAACCCCCGAGGGGGGAGTCAGGGCGGCTTACAAAAAGGCATACACATACGTACAAAACAACAGTTAAAACAATTATCACAGTTAAAACAGTCGGTATATAACGCAATCAATAAAACTAATCTCATGCTCAGATCTTTCAGAGTTCCATAATTCCATTCCACTTAGTCAATTCCTGTCCATCGTCAAGTCCTTTCTTTAGCTGCCAAGAATGTCCGAATGCCTGGTCCCAAATCCATGTTTTCAATTTTTTCCTAAAGGAAAGGAGGGATGTCGCTGATCTAATTTCCCCGGGGAGTGAATTACATAGGTGAGGGGCCACCACTGAGAAGGCCCTGCTCCTCGTCCCCGCCAATCTCACTTGTGATAGAGGCGGGGTCGAGAGCAGGGCCTCCCCAGAAGATCTTAGACTCCGAGGTGGGACGTAGAGGGAGATCCGTTCGGACAGATACACTGGGCCGGAACCGTATAGGGTTTTGTAGGTCAAAACCAGCACTTTGAATTGTGCTCGGAATTGGATCAGCAGCCAGTGGAGCTGACACAATAGGGGGGTGGTATGCTCCCTGTATGACGCTCCTGTAAGCACTCTGGCTGCCTCCCACTGGACTAGTTGGAGTTTCCGAACAGTCTTCAAAGGCAACCCCACGTAGAGTGCGTTGCAGTAATCTAATCAATGAACTAATTAAAAAACTTTGCTCGCTTGTGTGAGTAGTCCAAAGCTATCCTCTGAGTTTTCATGGCTAGGTGGGTACTAAAACTTGGATTAAGCAAGTCGCAGCCAACCGCTTTTCAGTACAGATAATAATAATAATAATAATAATAATAATAATAATAATCTTTATTTATAACCCGCTACCATCTCCCCAAAGGGGACTCGGGGCAGCTAACATGAGGCCAAGCCCAAAGTACAATACAGCAAAATAAAATACAGAATGCAGACAACAAAAAATTACATCAGAATAAAATACTGTATACATCAGAATAAAATTTCAGTATAGGACGGGAGAAAGTGCATCATTGGGGCAACAACAGTTGCCCCTCTGAGTCCATGAATTCTGTAGCTATGGATTCAACCACACACAGCTTGACAGTTTTCTTTATATCCAACAATTAAAGCTTGATTTTGCCATTTTGAAAAAAGAATAAGGGATTCCATTTTATTATATCACTGTATATAATAGGACTCAAGCATCCATCGATTTTGGTATCTACAGAAAGGCCCCCCAGAAGATATTAAGGGCCAACTATATTACACTACATTGGTCTGAGCAGTAAAGCTGCCCTGTCTCGTGGCCTTTGGGGGCATTCAGGGAATTGTTGCTCCAACATTTAATACTTTTTATAAGCCCTTTTCATTTCTCCTAAGGTCAGCTATGAACTGGATCTTACAAACCTGAGTTAGATTCAGTTGTACAAAAGGAAAATAATGTTCTGAGCAAGGGAATGAAGGTTCCCAGACATACAGGCACCATCTATGCTGCCATGTAATGCAGTTTCAAACTGCACTGTATGGTAATGTAGATCGTGCCATAGTCTAGCTGAAGATATGCTGTAATAAATGCACTGGTCCTGGGGTTTATTTAATTGTATGCAGAAAGTCAATTACACCGAGTCTAATGGAGATTTTATCCAGCAGAGTTGCTACTTTATCACACTAGGGAAAAATACACTTAAAATCCGGTTCATGCCTCCTGCAGAATTCTAGGGTTTATAGTTTAGTGAGTCTTTTCTCAATTATATGACTGTGTGGAAGGGTCCTCTGTATCCTAAACCCCTCCCCCAGCACCAACTGCTACTCAGGGCCAGAGTGAAAAGAAACGGGGCCAGGGGACAGTTCCATCTTGTCTCCTGCATATGTTTTCAGTTGGAGACCCCTCCCCTCAGCACTAACTGCTGCTCTGGGCCAGAGTAAAGAGAAAGGGGGCCAGGGGACAGTTCCATCTTGTCTCCTGCATATGTCATCAGTTGGGGACCCCTCCCCAGCACCAACTGCCGCTCAGGGCCAGAGTGAAGAGAGAGGGGGCCAGGGGACAGTTCCATCTTGTCTCCTGCATATGTCATCAGTTGGGGACCTCTCCCCTAGCACTAACTGCTGCTCTGGGCCAGAGTGAAGAGAGAGGGGCCAGGGGACAGTTCCATCTTGTCTCCTGCATATGTCATCAGTTGGGGACCCCTCCCCTCAGCACCAACTGCCGCTCTGGGCCAGAGTGAAGAGAAAGGAGGCCAGGGGACAGTTCCATCTTGTCTCTTGCATATGTCTTCAGTTGGGGACCCCTCCCCCAGCACCAACTGCCGTTCAGGGCCAGAGTGAAGAGAAAGGAGGCCAGGGGACAGTTCCATCTTGTCTCCTGCATATGTCATCAGTTGGGGACCCCTCCCCCAGCACCAACTGCTGCTCTGGGCCAGAGTGAAGAGAGAGAGGGCCAGGGGACAGTTCCATCTTGTCTCCTGCATATGTCATCAGTTGGGGACCCCTCCCCCAGCACCAACTGCCGCTCAGGGCCAGAGTGAAGAGAAAGGAGGCCAGGGGACAGTTCCATCTTGTCTCTTGCATATGTCTTCAGTTGGGGACCCCTCCCCCCAGCACCAACTGCTCTGGGCCAGAGTGAAGAGAGAGGGGGCCAGGGGACAATTCCATCTTGTCTCCTGCATATG